TATCTATCCCGCTGCACAATGGCTTCCAGCTCCTCCTGCTTGCCGCCCATGCTGTGTGCATTGGTGTAGATGCACTTGAGCTGGGCTATCGATTTCACCCCCAGCATCGGCATGCCACCCCTAGGCTCATCTCTAGTGAGCCCGGTTTTGTCCCCTTCCCCCTTCAAACCTAGTTTAAAGCCCTCTCAATGAGCGCCACCAATTCATGAGCAAGAATCCTTTTCCCCCTGTGAGACAGCTGAACTCCATCTGTCGCCAGCAGGCCCGGTGCTGTGTAAACCTCCCCTCAAAAAAGCCAAAATTCCACTGACGGCACCAGCCCCTGAGCCACGTGTTGATCAGGTGTGTTTTCCTGTTCCTTTCAGTATTCTGCCCTGCCACTGTAGGGATTGAGGAAAACACTACCTGTGCTCCCGATCCTTCAACCAATCGCCCCAGTGCCGTGAAGTCCCTTTTGATCACTGCCTTTAGGTCATATGCCCTAAAGACTGTCACCAAACAACATGCAGCAGCAGCAGTTTCTTCTGTTTCCCTTCATCCAGCCCCACATCTACTTCTTAAATGTCTATTCCTAAATAAAATATTTTTCCAATTCCACTCCAGAAATAGTGCACAGGAGGTGTAATTTGCTCCTTTCACTGCTCATGAATAGTAACAATATTGAGCAATATGGGGAGCAAATATAACAGCGAGGTAAGTTTTTCTCATTTGGTATTGGTAATTGAGGAACATGTTTCTGTATTTTTTGTCTTGGAAACAGACAATGGATGCTTCAAAGAGCGTAGAAGACTTGCACAGAGAAATCAAGTCCGTTGCAGAGGAAACCATGCAGGAGGTTCAGAATAAACCTTTGGGAGAACTCTGGAAATAAAACTTTATACAGGTTATTCTTCTAGACCTAAGGGAAAACTCACCTTTTGGATCTTCCTCGCTTGGGTAACTCCCCTACATCACCCTCCAGTAACTACAGCTTAGATCCCATGTATTCTTTTGGGTCCAGCATGGTGCTGATGTCCTTGTGATTTTATCTGCTCCTCCCCACCATCCTGCATAGTCCCACCTGTACTTTATAAATGAACATGCGATGAACATGTAACAAATTCCTTATAAAAGCCTCCTTACCTCAAGTAGGAGCTCTTGTTCTAGCCCCAGTCCTGTAGTGCAGATGTAGGTATGGAGCCCAGGGCTGCCCCTGGACACGGACAGCAGCAACAGGCAGGCAACAGCCTTCCCAGTTTCGGGGAACTGCCATGTTTCTGATTCTTCTGCCTCTAGTAAACGCATCCCCTGTGCTGAAACCAGTTTGTAGAGGACTTGCTAATAAATTACTCTTTTAAACATTTTGCACAGGGCATTTTTTTTTTTTTTCAGTATGATCATTTATCTTCTAGAAGGATATATAGGAGGTGAAGGTACTGCGGTTCAGGCACTAAATCCAGAGAGCGGTTTGCTAGAGCTGCGAAATGGAGAGATGAATTCAAGTTTGCTCCCCAGCTGTTCAGTGAGAACAACACAGAAACTGAACTGCTATGAGCAGGTGAGAGTCTGAAATAAATGTATTAGCTCATAGCAAGGCCAGTTTGAAGGGTGAGTGGCACATAAATTATTTTAGACTGGTCAAGTTACTCCTGTGGCCAAGATCAGAGGAATAGTCACCTGTGACTCCTACACAGGCCCCAGTGCAATTTAAACAGCCCAGCACAGGCTGCCAAACCAGATCAGCTATGAATTCATCTAAGTCATCAGTAACGACCAGCAAACTACAAAAAAAAGGCATGTTAAATCCAATCATTTGCAAGGTGCACTGAGATACGGGGATGACCAGAAGAGTTAACGTCTATCTGCTGGACAGTTAACTCACCTTCTAGCAGTGTGGACTGGACTGATCTCCAAACTGGCTGATACAGAGACTAAATCCTGCTCTAACTCTTAGAGAGAGGCCAATTGAACTGACCACTAGCACGGAGAAGGTTGTAAATGTTTAAAACAAAATTGCTAATGCAAGCATCAGCTGAAATGGAAAAAGCTGCTGCCTTCACTCTACAGCTGCACAGCACCTGGTAGCAGAAACACTCGGGAAGGAGGTGAGCACCTGTAACACTGAATCAGGCCATTCCAGCAACACTGGAAGAAGACAACACACAGAGAAGTCATTTTATTCATATTAGCTTTAGGCTCCTGACTAAAAAGCCAGAAATACCTGTTAAAGATCTAAGAAAGCTGAGCTTAGCTCTGTTATTGGGGTTGTGTTAACACTCGGGTAAAATCTTGTCTGGCTGAGCTGTCCTTAACCATAAAAGCATGAACGTGAAATCAGTAGTAACTCTTCGTGTGTACAGATCAAGAGGGAGATGCGTTCCGAGTGACTAGCCCTCAACAAAAAGGACCGGCCAATGGCAACAGAGGGTGCAGCCTTTGAATTCAAGTGCCGTGTCCTGCCATTGCGCAGCAAACAGGAAAAATGGTTGTTGAAATGACTACTCTTACTTCTGTAACATTGACTAGTGCAGAGCTGGGGTTTAAAAGGCTACCTAGAAACTGAAGCTATAAAAAGCTATCAGTTAAATAGCTAAACAGTGGGCACACAATCTTAAAGGAAACAATTTTCACTTTCCACCTACTTTTGAGACTCTGCTTGGCTCCTTCCCCTCTACCTCAGAAGCACACATGGCAGAGACACAGCAAAAAAGCATGTCCAGTCTTGAAAGGGCTTACACTGTTTTAGAAGCAGAGAGATGCTGCACCACTCAGCAGGGACAGCCTTCAAGTATTGTTTTGTTGCCTCACGTTCATACAACTTAAAATTCAAGTAGCAGAATTGCTATGGAAGTGTTTTTTCCTTTTCTGCCAGCACGTCTGCAGGTGCTCACCCTCTGGGGCAGGAACAACTTGGCAGTCCCAAGCAGCCAGCTTCTATTCTATCAGATACACCAAAAGGAAGATAAAGTCACCATTGCACATAGCTCAACTTTCGCTTCCATTTGCCTTTGTTGCCCTAAAAGGGTAAAAACTGCAAGCATTTTGACAGTGTTCCCAACCGCACTGCAGGGTTACTAGATACCACCTGCCACCACCTTAAATTCATGTGCAAGAACATTAGGACAGGCAAAGATTTTAGATCTGTTTATTCAGATACAAATTGAAAGCAGATGAATGGAGCACAGCCCCACTTCCCTCTGCTGCCTCTTCCCCTAACTACAATAGAGAAGAGGAGAAGCAGGCAGAAAGCAGCAAATAATAATTTAGTGACAGAAGCATTGTGGTTCCCAGTTCAAACCTCTGCTTTTGGATAGCACAGGGACAGTTAGAGCATCAGTAGGTCAGTCACAGGGGAAATGGGTCATTTCTAGCCAGCTGTCACCACCCTTGGTCACAAAAGCATCAACTGACAGGTTCCAATCCTAAATGTACAAAACAAAGCCTTGTAACAGGTTTGCAATCTGCAGCATGCACTAAGGAAACTACTTCAGCAACTTCTGTTGCAGTTTGCATTAAGACGACTCTCCTCCACAGTTTACCTTTCTCCGAATTCTGTGTGGAGAAGGGCCCCAGGCAGAGCTATCAAAGTAGCTAAAATTGCCAGTATAATTGGACCTTCTGAAGGCATTCTGTCTTTACTGCCCTCTTTGGGATGATTACTTGAAATGGGTTTCTCTGGGTTAGCTCCTACAGTACCTTTGTGCATACTCTGCAGGGAGGGGGAGCTGGCAGAAGACAAGAGGAAAGGTACCGATGTAACTAGGAAGCCTACTTGACCTTCAGGCACCTTTTGTGATTTGGAGAGGGAATGTCTAACAGGATTAGTTGGAGGAACTGCTGAACAACCCACTGAGAATACCTTGAGGAATTTATAGCTCACATTGTTTGGTACTGACAGGATTAATTCCCTAGATGCCATGCCAGCACACTGGGGCACAGGCACATGACTCGCAGATCTCAGTTGTCCTGTTTCACCTCTCCCAGCTGTGGACTTTTTTTTTCCCCAGGGCTATGGAATCCAGTTCTCTGCTCAAAGCAGTGTTCCTGAAGATAGCTGCTGTAGACATTAATCTATTGTAGAAGCACAATGCTTTATTGACTCACCAAGCAAGAATATGCACATTTTCTATTCTCCTTCCCTTCTTTCTGCTGTTACTTAAACTGAGATTAAGATGGTCCTCCCCAGCAGCGTGGGTCTGCTCCACACTTTCCCAGGCAGCCTTTTGCTTATTGAATTACCAGCCACTTGTAAGTTCCCTCAACTTCCTTTTCATAGGATGTGAGCAGGAGAGCGGTACTACACCTGTGAGGAAGCACTGTGTACTGCAAAGCATGAACAGGAGTTGTACTGTAGGAAGCCCAGCCACCTGCACTCCAGGGCTTCACAGCTGTCTTGCTGGGACATGTCTACTGTTCATTTGCATTGTGAGCTGCAGCTGGCCAGCGAGAAGAGAAGCTGCTCAAGGAATTAACTGTACATTTCACCTGCTAAATGACAGGTGGCTCTATTTAAGCTTCAGAGGGGAGTCCCCATATAAGGATTTAGTGCTCTAATGATTTCTATGCCTCCCCCAGAAGGCCAACTGACCTGCTGATTTAACAGATAGGCTTTGAACTCCTAAGCACCACTGCATCCACTTCCAGCATTTTTTGAGAAATTCTGACTCCAGCCAGTAAGGCTGTAACACCCACTTGGTTCTTCATCCCAACGCAGACAATGTGCGCTCCGCTCAGAGGCTGCACAGAATGCCAGGATGGGCAAGAGGTGGGGATGGCAGCAAGCACCTATGAAAACCGGTAGCCCCAGGCTCTCGAAGGAGCTTCCCTCCCCCCCTTCTCCCCACACATAACACAAATTTGCAGAGTCAGTTTCCTATTTGTTTTCAAAGGGATAGGATTTCAAAGTCTTCATCTTCCGAGTCAAAAAATCTTTCCAATCTGTCGGCATCAGAGGAGTCTGCAAGAGAAAAAGAAAGCACTACCTCCGTGGGACGCACTGAGTGCTCAGCATCAGTGAGACCAGCAACTGGAGGGTAGCAGAACTTGAGTGTCAGGGGCCCACAAGTTCCAAGAGACTCTGTGACACACCTGAGTGAAGGCTCTGAGGAGGGATGAGAAATAGCATATATCAATAGCACGGAAAATGCACTGGAGAGAATTATATGGTGCGCAGAAGGTGCACTACATTTCACAGATCCTGACACAGTTGCAGTGGAACTCTGTGCTGTGACTGTTTTGTACAACCTTCCTGTGCAGCAGCTCAGTATTAGCAGGAGACAGTTCTGCCTCAAGAGGCTCAAAATAGGAGAACTGGCCCAGATCTGGACTAATATCCATGAAGATCTCTGGCCCAATTAATTGATATGGGAACATCTTTTCCCCCATGTATTAAAGACTTTTTTTCTGCTATAGTTGTCTTTGATGCAACTACTGGGGAATGTAATTACACAACATGCACTCTCCCAAATGCAATTAGTACAGTCCATTTTGTGAGGAAGGGTTATGTACTTGATCACTCCTGTCCATCTTTCCAACTCTGTGGTGAGGAGGGAGCACATACCTAAAGGGGAAGCAACTTTACCATAGGGGAAATTCAGGTGAGAACACATGGACAAACTGGGGAAGTAAAAGAGAAACCTACATTAACTCAGGCTTCAGGAAAGCACACACCGGACTTGGCAGAACAGCCAGCCAAAAGCTAAACTGCAATAACTGATGGTTGGGGACGGAAGTGCAAGGCTGCAGACCCACCTCCCCCCCGAACATTTTGTGACAAGCTTTAATCCCCCAGTAGCATGTGCAAATGCCTAATGTCGCTGTTCTTGATCAAACTGCAGTGCCCATGAGTGCTGGCAGCACAACTTCCAGAGGTGCTCCTCAGAGGAGCGGCCCCCTTCACTTCAGTAACACAGCAGAGAACCCAACTGGCTGGGGGCTGGACATTCATGAGAGCATGATTAATCCTTCTAGTGAGGGGTAGGACTGTAAGAGAAACAGAACGGCCAGAGCAGATGGGAGAGGCTCTACAAACTAGGGAAGAGGGAGAAGTAAAAGGACAAGTAGCCCATTGCAAAAACTTTTAAGAGTAAGAAAGGCAGCAATTAGGGACAATTTAATACAGGCAAGGAGCAACTGACAGTGTAATAAATCAAGCATTCTTACAGAAAAGGACAGTGAGATAAGAAAGGCTTTGAAAGTTCACACTAAGGAGAGAGCGAGCACGCAAGGCAGCACAGGGTGCAGGATGCAAGTGACAGGACACAGTCCAATGCCTGGTGACAGGGTAAGTTTGTCACTCCTCTTGGCAGAAGCTGACAATGGCTCTTTATCTCCTGCAACGTTTGTGCACATTATTAACATGATAAGCAGAGCCTGACAGCCAAGATACTGCCCAGCACTTGTTCCTTTTTGCATTGGTAGTGGCACATGCACAGAGAAGGAGTGCCTTACATTGGAACTAAGTTTGACCAGCCCCATCTTTGACCATTTTCATTACCTAGAAACTCATTTTCAGCCTTTTCAGTGGACCCTTTTGATTCCTCCAAGCATCCCTTTACAAATCATAGATTCACGTTGCTGTGATAGCCTATGAACTTGTTTTTTCTTCCCCTCAGTCACCATTACCATTCACAGACTCATTCTAAAAATTGTCCTGAGACACTGTGGGATCTGCAAACCACTAGTTGAAAGCCAAAGAACTAGATCAATTGATCTAAGAGCTCCAGATCAAACTCCAGGTGGAACAGGAACATACTAGAAGTCACCATGCAATTCCACACAATTTCCAGAAAACCAAAGGGACCAGCTCACCCTTAGCTCTACCTCCCTGCGTGGCCTCACCTGGTGTGAGATTCAGGACGTCGGGGTTGGAGAAATGCGATGGCTGGTGTTCAACCAGTTCGAACATTGGCAGCGCTCCTCTTACCAGGGACAGCTGTGGAGCAAGAGTAGAGCCATGAGAACCAGCAACTCTGTACTCATGGTGCTCTGGGTCTTTGAGGGGTAATAACGATCTGTTGGGACTTCACTGCAGCTGAAAAAACATTTCTCAAATCTTTGACTCACATCATCAACAGAATTTCAGAGCTATGCTCTTTTTGGTAGTTTAATAAATTATTTTCATATGCTTTAAAATGGGATCATGCTGTAGAGAACATGCTCTCTGTGCAGCAGTTTGGAAACAAGACATATATTCCCTTCCTGGTGATATAAACACAAACCTTTTTGATTTGCTGGCACCAATCATTAAAGTCCTCCTCTGTGTTGCAGAAAAAGCCCTGGAAAAAAAAAATTTATATATTGTAGATAGATCATTTCAGTCTTAAGGCCTTATATTAGTGCCAAGCAACACGACCAGGACTGTGAGCGGTTACACAACCTAACTGCCTTGCTTTTAAACTGTGGCTTACACTGCCCCGTTAAACTGAACGCTCCCCATATGCTTGATGTGACCAGACTATCCAAGTGCTGGAAGCATCAATGTAATGGTCTGCTTTACTGCAGAAGGAAAACCGGGCAGAAACAACAAAACAACGGGCAGGCATCTCAGGTTCAACAGAAAACAAGCCACCCTGAATCATAATATGGATTCAGATCTGCCCATCAAAAGGCAGGAATCAAAGCCTAAACTAAACCTGAGAGAAGAATACGGCCCCATGAAGAATGGCATTTAATTGCCATGCAGGGGAGACTTCCCTGTACCAAAGCACTTCTTGCATGAGGAGCTTCTTTACCAACGTTACTGAAACCCACAGCAGCACTTGCCCAGAGCACAGCATGCCTGTGGAGTACCCAGCCCATCACCACTGCCTTTGCCAGTTCCCTGGGGAAAGGGACAGCTGTGAAACAGAGGGACCACAACACTGCTCCTTCGGGTGTTCGGAAACAAGCAGCAGGAACGCACCACCGCAATGGAGGGGTCGAGCTCGGCAATGCTCATTCTGCAGGGAGGGTGCTGGCAGTGGAAGCTTTCATCGGGGAGACAGCCGCCGTCATTGGACTCCACTGCAGGCTGCGTAGTGTGGGGATCCAGGTAAATGAGTTCCTCACCTGGACAGACAGGCAAGGAGACATGAAGAGGAAGAACCATGCCAGAAATTGGTCTTCTGAGAAGCAAACGGTGAGATACAAAGAGGAGGAAGAGTGACGACAGAGCCAGCTCTCAAAACCCCACATAGGAACCCATGTTCTCTAGGGGCAACTTGCTTTCAGCAACTTTCCCAAATGCTTCTCATCCAGGTAAAAAGCCAGCTGCCAGCAGAACCACAGAGCACCCACTCCACAGCAACACCCTGGACTCAAGGCACAGGCACTATTTGGATACTGTTCCTGCACATGCCTTCCAGGTTCCTGTGTAAGCTCAAGTCAGCCCCAGAAATCCAAAGCACAACCAGATTGAGGTCTCAGGCAGAGAGAGAAAATCAGAGGGAAGGAGGAGAGTAAAAGGACAACAGTTTGTAGGGTTTCAGGAAGGGGACAACTAAATCCAGCCAAGCCTCTAAAGGGAGGTCAGCTCTGAATGTAGGAAAAGTCTCTATGCATGCCTCTTTACAGACAGGATTTAGCATTATGCGGTGGAAGTTTATGCCCATACTATGGCCACTGTTCAAAGCTACATCACTCAGGGCCTTGCAAAGAAGTTCAGTCCACGGCAGCCTTCCACGCTTCCAGCAGGAAAGAAGAACCCTGCAGCATGCACCACAGACCAAGCAGAAGAGCTGTACCATTCCACAAGCATTTTTTAGCTGGGGGGAGTTGCTTGGAAAGTCTTTGCAGTACTCTGGGCACTCACCTACATAGCCAATGAAGTAGTGAGCACTGTTTGGTTTCCCTCCAATCACTCCCAGGGACTGGGGCATCATGAAGCAGTGCTGGAAAAGCAATACAGAAAACACACAGCTGACAGACAGTGAGACAGCAGGTGGTAACAAAGGCAAACATCCAAAAATGCAGCGGGAAAGACGGGGACACTGAAAATCAGCAGAAACACCCATTTCTGGAGAGAAGCTCCGACAGGAAGGCTGAAGGCCACAACACAGGGCCTTCAAGAAACACAGAAGCAGCAAAAAAACCACCTTTAACTGCTTACAGGAACACACAGGTGGACCAAATGGAAGAAGGAGCACTAGTCCAGGACCCAGTCCAGGCGAGTCCTGGCTCTGCTGCAGTCAGCGGCAAGATACCCTGGTGTTGTCATCAGGCTGCAACAGTGCTCTCAGGAGGAAATGATCATTCAGGAGACAGTTTAAGTTCCTTATCCAGCTGCAGTATCCAGGCAACATCTACTGAGTTAAGGGCAAGTAACTTTGCGTGAATTTGGAGCTTTTACCCATGCAGCTCAGAGCTTGCTAGCATTAGTACAGCAAGACAATGTGCACCCTGTCTTGTGCATGTACTCTGCACACCCTAAATTCTGCAGCCTCCTGATACTCCACACTGCAACCATCAGCCAAATTCTAGCCTCAGCCTGCAGTACAAGCTCCAGCATCAGAACCCCAGGGAGTTTGCAACACTACATTCATTAATGCTCTGGTTGCCACCAAACACAGTACAGTTGTGCTGAACAAATGCTTCAGCAGGTTGGTACCATCTAAACACAAAGAGGGACCGAGATTAAGTTGTGAAGTAAGATCCTCAAAAAAAACCCCAAACACCAAAAACCCCAAACCCCCAAAAGCCTCACACATTTTCCTGACTAAAGCCTGCAAGAACCCATATCCTGACCTCTGACGAGGATTGTCTCTAAACACGTTTTTCTTTTGAAAATAGGACAATTATTTCTGAGTATTTTTGCCCCAAAACCAAATTCCAGAAATTACTTAATTCACAACAGGGTCCTTAAGCATCAGAACACCAAGAATTCAGCTCCAGGTCCCCTACCTTTAGTGTTTCAATATAGGCTTCATTGATCTCTGTGAGCCCAAGGCGGAGAGGTATCAGCAGCACCAATGGTTTCCACAGTGAGAGCCTATCTCTAACCCCCGCTTCCTCTGGGTACCCGTTATAGAGTACGTCTGACTCCACAGCAGGGCATGCTGCAGCTCCAGCACACAGGAAGTTGGACTGGCACAACCGCCCTACAGAAAGGGAACATGAGCAGAAAGCATCAGAAATAACCTCCGTTTCTAGACCTTGAGTAATTCTATTCGAGCTCTGGTCAACAGTTGCTACTTACTAAAAGCCTACAGCACTTAATAAAAAGAATAAAAGAAAAGCTTAAAGAGGTCCAGTGCTGGGATCATATGATGTAGGTACTCCCTGCAGGGCTGCTGGTAGGGCTCAGCATTTCATCTAAGCTTACATCAAGATTATGCCAAAGCATGCTGTACTCTCAGCCACCATCTGGTGGGCTGTTAAAATGCAAATTTTTCCAGCAGGTGAGCAGCTAAGCAACAACCTGTGCCAACAAGGTTGAAGCAGTTGATTAGGAGGTCAGGTGAGAGTCCTGAATTCAGAAAGCGTGTAGGCAGAAAGAGAAAAATCTGGAGTGTTCAACTCCAGAGGAGTTAATGGAGGATATGATGACAGTTGAACTGAATGAAGAAAGCATATAGCTTATTCCTTAAATACAGGAAACATTCACCTGTAATTAGCACTGTAACAAGATACAAACATAGTGTCTGTCTAGAGTAGTTGTAATTTTCCTAAAGTTCACTAAAGCCTTCACAAATTTTAATTGGGGATCATTCAGAAGCTACTTTAGAGACCTAAAGCAGGATGATCATTAAACTCTGCAATTTCAGCATGAGCTTTGCCTGTAAGATATGGGGCAGTAAAACTCCTTAGGGCATACACATGACATAAGCACTATGCATCCTCATTCTACAGGCTTGACAAACACGCAGCCAGGCTGTAATGCAGCCAGATTATGTAAATTCTGGTACAGAAACATCTCCAAGCATACCTGTCTCACTGGCCAATTTCACTACTTGCTGGGTGTGTGAAGAAAAAACCCAAACCCCAAAGAAACCCACAGCATTTTAATCACGAAACCAAGGCAATTAGAGAAAATGCCAGAGGCTCATTTAATTTATTCCTGGCCTAAGCTGAATGCCAGGACACTCTAGCAGGTAGGACACAATGTAAACAAACACCTTCATCATCAGCCATTTCAGCAGGGTGTTTGCTCACTTACTAAGAGCTTTGAACCCAGCTGAACAAGGAGAATGTTACACCCAAGGTTAGAAGAAATACGACTTTGGTCTAAAGCCTCGGTATGAGAGACAACCCGCACTGAAGAGTTTGCAGTTGCTCCCTGTACTGTCCCCTCAAGGAGGGAGAAGGTGTATGTGTGCATCTCTCATGCACAGACATATTATAGTTACCAGAGGTCCTGAGAAAACTGAAAGTCATTATTCGTAGTGATTTATCCTGTTAAAACAGTAAGATCATGGGTTTTTTTGTTGCAGTAGCCTGCCTGTTCTGATGATCTGAAATCAGCTGCCAAGCCAGGGCTGTTGCTGAATGGGGTGTCACTGCAGGTTTCCTATCAGGCAAAGCAACTGGCAATCTTGCGCCATGGTATGAACATATTTAACCCAAGTTTAAGCAGTAGGGAGCTAGGCACAGAGTAAATTCACCTTACTTCTTTGGCAGGCTTTGCAGCGCTATGGTGCTACAGCACAGTGGAACCTGCCTAAAGCTTCCCAGCTGGATCCAAATCATTTATTGGAAACATATTCCAACAGATTTGACACAACATCTCTCCTGCTGCAGCTGCTGCTGTCAGGTACTGGCTTTACTGTCTTGGTTTCTCACCACCTTTCTGATGCACAGGATCCTCCAATGCCCAACTAAGAGCCCCTTTCTGATACAACAGACTGACTCAGAAGGGAAAAAGATGGATGTTTCTTCACTGCTGTAGCAAAAGACATTTCCTATGAGCCTTAGGCTGAACAGTATTAGTGAATAAATTTAACAGATATATGAAACAGCATTAACTTCTGAATGCTTCACTATCAACAGATGTTTGGGGCACAAGATATGTAACACATACTTACAGACATATAACACATCTGATCCACTCATACAGTGACTTTCAGGCCCTGAACGTACCACATTATGATTCACATTTGAGGAAAATAAACAAACACCCCCTGCACATTACAAGCTGTATGGACGTGTTACTTGAAGCGGTGTCAGTGCCAAACAGTCAGTGCCACACAGACAAGAGCCTGCAGCATACCCAAGCCTTGCAGCCAGCGTGCTTCAGTTCTAGAAGTAATGTTTTCAGGTTAAAGATGAAAGATAAATCCAATTTCTGTTGTCACGCTGGCCCTTGTTTAAGCCAAGGGCATCAGCACATACCTTCACAGGACTACATGTACCTAATGTTAGACTTCTCAATCAGATCCTACATTTCTTGGCCTCTCAATTGAGACTACCCGATAAAAGATGTGACTTTGTAAAGTGACTGTCCTGCACTCTAGGGACAAATTGCCTGTTAATTGATTTTGGCTCCATGGCAGCCGAAGCCAGCCTAAATGATGCATGCCATGATCTCACCTGTAACCTCGCACCAGCTCCAGCACTCACTGGACTGTTCTACGTGCTGTTTCAGAACACTAACCTGGCAGAAAACATTGCATGGTTTTGTGCTGTGTAAGCGCACTGCCCCATGAGTTAGTCTAAAGCAAGCGAAGGGAAGACTTGTGTGGCCAGGACCATGCAGGACTGCAGCAACCAGCGATGCAGGCATTCAGCTTGGTTACTGTGGCACTGCAGCCTGAGCGAGCATGCTAGGGATGAACACATCACACAGCTGCTCAGCCTCCAGAGCCATCTTATTGTCACGATGCACCAAAAAAAAAAAAAAAAAAGAAAAAAGAAACAACCAGTGAGCATTCCTTAAAAGGTCCACTCCGGAGATGGATTCCCTTCTTCTCCCTCCCCCGCCAATTTTGTTCATTTTCCTCTTCAGCGATCTGTTCTAGTTTTCTTACTCTGCCTAATAGCAGAGACATTCCTACCCCATTATATGAGAGAGGAAGCAGCCATTTACTGCTTGCTCCCTGTGGCCATAAACAAGTTTGACACTACCTTCCAAGCAGCTCCCACCTATTGTCTGGAGGTCAGCAGACCTTCTCGCCAGATCCAGAGGCCACAGTGCTAAGTCAGAGGCTTTATCAGATGAAGCAAAAGTCAAAACAAGGGGCTTCCTTGCCCTAGAACAGCAATTCTCATCTGGTTTTAGCATGCTTGGCCACAGCTTTAAGTCAGAACATTTACTTCATGCTTGTTGTGTTGTACTGCTATATGTTCTCCAGCTTTTTTCTGGCTTCTTGCTGCTGGAGGATATACCACATTCTACCTCCACATGATACTTACGGATTTCTTCCATCACTACTGTGTTGTCCATGGCTATATGGACTGCCAGTGAACTCCATGTATCAAAAGTTGCAAGTTTTCTATAGGAAAGGAAAAGAAACCAAAGTAAGCAAGGTTACAGCTACAAGGTAAAGATGGTGGTGTATCAAAGAGGAGAAACTAGATTAGGAGAGATTGGCTTTCATCAATTATGCTGTAAAGTATGCTTTTATACATGTATCAGAGTTGTAGACTTCATTGCCACTAGTTATTATGGTCAGAAGAATAAACAAGATTGCAAATGGGACCACACCTGGGAATTTGTCCCTCAGCAGCTACTAAGTACAAGAGCCCTGATACAATCTCTAACTCAAATCCCATAACTGCTGGTTACCAGAAAGCGAGACAGCATAAATAATAAACAAAAAAAAAAAAAAAAAAAAAAAAAAAAAACAACTTTTACAATGAAATGCCTGTTGTACCTGTAGAACATCTACATATCTCCTGATCACCTATACCAGATCCTAGGCTAATTCGGCATATGGTCTGATCTGGGAAAGCTGCTTTTAGGCAATCCTAGCCTATTCCAGGAAGCTACCTCCTCATCTAATCAAAGTGAGGGAAGAATGGTGACAGGAAGGAGACTGCTTCTCAAAATACAGTGTTCCCCAGTTATTAAAGACAATCCATGCTCCGGCACCACTCTGAACCTCTGCCTGTCATCATGGAACCCGGGCAGCTTTCCTCTGCTAATGCATTAGTGACTCGGTGGCTCGTTGGTAGCTTTTTCGTAACGATGACAATATTGCCAGGTCAGCAGAGGCAACTCAGGTACTAGAAGAGATCCAAACGACGGCCAGTGATCATCTATCTACCCTGACACTTGCTTCTGGTCTGCTGCAAGGGCATTGCACTCAGTTCTAGTGGCAAGCACATTACTTGTGGGATGTGGAGAGAGAATTTTGGGGGTTGTCCTCAACTTGAAATCTGTTTTCCCTTACATCCTGCCAGCATTTGAATGACAGAAGGGCTCCTTTCAAGTTCCTGCCCAAGCAGGTCGATAAGGTCAAGCAGGTTGCCTGCTAACAGCATTAAAACATACAGTTGCACTTCAGTCAATAGGCAGAAACCTGTAAGCTAGGAGGTGCTATTAACCAAATGACCCCACTGCTTGGTTCGAATGATATAAAGGAAAAACACAGCACTTACTTGAGCACTTGTGCAACTGTGTTTGGTCCGTACCACTGACCTATGGATTTTCCCTCTCCAACTCCCATCTGGGCTGCATCACAAGACAAAACCAAAATAATTTAGCAAATAGTTTCATCTACACTGCACCCCTTCCTAATCAGAGTTTGTATTTAATAGGGAAGAAATCTCACTTGGAGACATTTTTGAGTCAGCAGAATCTACCCTTTCATGGGGTATCTTAGTGTAGATGGGCGAGAGAAGCATATCCTGAAGGACTGTAAAGTAAATCCTTTCCCAAAATGCAATAACACAGAAGTTCAAAAGGCAATGTTACCTCAGAAGAAATTTTAGAGTGTTTGATTACCAGGACCACCCCTTTAATCTGAAGTTCTGTTCACTGAAGCTACAGGTGCCTTAACACCCTATAGGAAAAAATGGAACAGACTGCTTCTCTTTTATTTGCCAGGGAAGTTTATATCAAAGTGAGATCCTTCCTTAGTCCATTTGCAACTTCTGAGAATTTCTTCACCCAGCAATCGTCTCATATTACAAGGTCCTAGCGAGAACAACCCACATACTTTCCTCTCACCTTAGCTAGCTAGGATATGGAAAGTGATGCTGAATATAACCTAAAGCATTAGGCAAACCTGAAGACCTTAATGAAGTCAACAAGAAAAAAACATAATAATCCATAATAAAGAGTGGTAGTTTTGTATCATGTCAGAAAACATGGAGCATGGTATCATGTTCTAGCTGACCTGCTTGGGTTTTTTGGGGGCTAAGCTACTAAGATAAACATAGAATGATGTTCTACATGCATGGGAAACCCAGACTGAGTATCCCCACACTCTTCAGCACACAGCACTCTTACCTATCTGGTGAATGGAGTAGTAGCTGTCTTTTTTGTCAATGAAGGCATTAAGAACATTGAAGTAATTATCCATCTGCCTCTTCCCTTTTATCCACCTCCAGTCTAAGACAGACAAGGGAATACATGAAACAAAACATGATATTTATTAGTAACTAGAGACTGCAAGCTACAAACTCTCTTCCCTGTGCATCAATCAACTGATCCGATTTTCATGTCGCTCTTATTACTAGGCATCTGAGGCATTCCCAACACTAAAGGATTAACTTTAAGAGAAAAGTAAGCATTTTCACAGCTGGGATAAAGGAATATCACCCACAGAAAAACAAACAAACAAACAGAAAGCAAAAATTGTACCTTTATCCCACAGATGGGAAATAGGATTACAATTTCTTATTGACAGGCATGAGCTACACACGTTTTGATTCTGTGGAAAAACAGGTGACCTCACTACAAAAATCATCCCCCCCCAAATTCAAAGGCCATCAACAACTGTCAAAAAACCCCTCTGGTATAGCTGCTCACAGACCAAGCGTGGGTCAAGTGCAAGAACAGAAGTATTCAGGGAGAGGAGACCACACTCAGTGAGGGCTTTGTGATACAACTGAACTACAAACAAGAATCAATCACTAAGTTGTTTTAAACTTCAGCTATATACAAAACCCTTCAAGAAAAATCTAGTACTTGCTCGGCTTCAGTGGATTTATCTAGCATGTTACAGGGCTCTGCTTTTTTTTAAGGCTTGGACAACTATATCTATGTAGAGTTGCAGACAGCAGGGAAAAAACTTGCTGGAGGGTTTCCAGTAGACTTTTCTCTCAACAGTCCTGACCTTGAAAAGACTAAAGACAAAGGTATAGAGCCTTCAGCAATTCCCAGCTGTGCCTTTGTTATCTGCTGTCCTTACAAATATTGTCCTTGTGGGAGCACATGGCCCTGGAAGTCAGTATGGGCTATGCACTGGTTTACCTCTTCCCAAATGCCTGCAGACCAAGGCCTGAGCAAAGATCATCTGGCCACAGCGCAACATACAGCCCCAGCCAGTATCAGATGTGGGACCGGTTCCTCCTGTAAACAAGGACAGAAAATAAATATGTAATGAATAGTAAAACAGTGCCAAGAGGGAGAAGAAATGAAAGCACAGTAGGTCTGCACAGGTAGCAGGTTCACCCAAGAAATCAGGCAGGGAATAAGGACTACCTTAGCTCCCATACCCAAGGCTGAGAAACAAAAACATAGTTATCAGTGAGTAACTTAATGGCATCCCTTAAAAACAAACAAACAAACTAACACTAACTGAAAGGGGAAAAAAAATTCAAAGGGAAATTCAAACAACTCAGCTAGAAAGAGAGCTGAATTTCTCAGGAGCACAACAGCCCTTGAGCCTAGTTGCAGACTCCCAGCCCGATTCAGAGACACATTTCTACACAGAGGTGCTTGTTACAGGCGACTTCTTGTAATCTTCATCTTGAGAAGGCAACTCATCATGCAAAACAAATCAGTCCCAAGGAATTCCCACACCATAAGCAGCTATGACTGGATGAGATTCCAAAGTGAACAACAGCCAAAAAAAATCCCACCAGCCAAAAAAAACCACCCCAGCAACAAAAAGCCCCCACATCCTACATAATATCGGAGAATAAGCTGGATATTAGCTCACGCTGGAAAGCCTGAGACAAAGGCCTCAAGGCTGGAAGCATTTCCCTGACAGAACTTCAGAAGAAAACTGCTGCTCCTCCACTGAAGCTTTGGCTATTATTACAAGCTTCACAGATAAAATGTTTAGTGTGACCACAGCAAGTGAGCTGTCTTACAAGCATGCAGACAGCTGTGCCTTAGCACAGCTGGTAGAAGTAGTTTCTTCATAACGCTGCTTTTTTCTTTCGATCCCATGCAACTACTTTGAACGAAAAGCACAGGGAGAAAAATCTCCCAAGAGAACTATTTAATCAACTTCTGGATGGTCAGCAGCTATCTTCTATAATTTTGCCAGCAATTTATAACATATACAACATCCAAAATTAATAATGCTTAAAAAAATTAGCATAAGACATTCCCCTTACCCTCTGAAGAGCTTACAATATTTAAGTGGGCAAGCACAGAAAGAAGTGGCCAACAATAAAAGGGATGACTGGGAGAAGAAAGACTGAAAAAGGAGAAGGTTTACTGTGTGACATGCAAACCGTATCTATACTGTAAATGGGAAATGACTCAGAAAATGGGATTTCTTCCCACCCCCTGCCCTTTAATAACTCACACAGAAACCCCAATCATGTTTGTGAGCCATAGTTAAACACACACTAACCCTTCAATTTCAAACGTGTTTAACTATGGCTCAACAAACGTGAATTTAAAGGGATTAAACTGCATCAAAGATGTCTCATGCCTTGTTAGGCAAAAGGTTTCCCAGTATGGAAAAAACAGAGCAAGCCAGAAGGATCAGCTACCAAGAAGTCTCTTTTCCGGATCTAAGCCATTTTCCCCATCAACTGCTGGGGATGACGCTGACGGTGGGGACACAGATGGGGCTTGGAATCCCATTTACCTGCTCTCAGATTTCTTCTGATACCCTTTGCACCCAGTACACAAAACCACACCACAGAAGTGACCATGCAGAATATCTTAAGAAACCAAGGCGTCCTCCTCCGAGTTCACTGGGAAATGTTCCCCATATTACTACAGTTCCTGTGTGTAACAGCCACTTCAGGCATTTAAAAAAACCCCACACAAACAAACCAACCCCCCCAACATAGTCCAGAGCAGATGCACAAAGGCAGTAATTTCTTTACCATATCTCTAGCTTTCATGTATTTAATACACTTCAAGCCCAAGACCATCATTAAACAATATTTCATGTTAGACTTATGTAGGACTTAATGAACATGAAGTACAAAAATCTTCCCATGTAGCTCAAAGAAAGGATATTTCTAGATAGGCTTCCCAAACTCATTCTTGTGTCCTTTTTAAAATCACTGTTATCCCTCATACCCAAGGGGATGAAGAATTCTCATTATCAGATAAACAAAAAGTCTATCCTATCAATTAAATGAAGTGCATTTCAGATTCCTATAATTGGAAGAGAATTAATGTTATGCTTGTCGGGACTGTTTTATTAGGTAGAGATAACCGGATTATCATCATTTCCAGGATATACTTAGACTCATCCACAGTACGTACCGATAGCAGGGAAGTTCTTTCTGTAGGTGAACCAAAGCCGAGAGGTCACATCCAACAGGATCTCTTCTTTCTCTGAAAATTTTTCAGCATGGAAAGGCACGCACATGAGGGTAGCACCAAACACAGCTAAATCCATCTCTCACCCACATTCCCGAATGACAACAGCATTCTGCTCTTCACTCAGTCTGTGTGCCCAGAGAGGCAAATCTGACTGAGGAACAGGACAGCGCTGCTGTGCAAAACAAACATTCTTCTTCCCCCGAAATAGCCGCAATCAACCCAAAGATGCCATGGCCGTAGGCAAATTATGAAGCAGTAAACCATTTTCTTGCCTTTCCCCTGAGCTGTCCCCTTGCCTCAACCATCCTGGCCTCATGACACAAGTCCCAATAACTACTAAATGGTAGCTTTCTGCACAAATATATCCCAGAGTCCACAGAGATGGCCAGACAGAGAGAAGCACGATACTTACAGTCTGCATGCTCTGCCAGCAAACAGACACACTCTGCAGTGTGCTTTTAAGGTTTGCAGTCACCTTGCTGCTCAGAAAGCAAAGTGCAACACTAACAAAGTCCTCTGGAGCATTAAAGCATGTTGCACCATGCATGCAAGATACCTGTAAAAACACTGTATTTCCGGCCGAGGATCCAAACGGGTTCTTTGGTCTCAGGGAAGTCTTCATATTCGAACCTGAGAGTGTCATAGGTAAGAGTAGCTAGAAAGAGAGAGAAGAAATTACATACCTTTCATAGCTTTTCCTTGTGTTTTAAAAAAATCATACAAAACTACAGAATCAGAGCTGCTGTGGACCAGCAACTTACACACCCAGAGCACCTGGCTTTAGCTAGTAAGAAACGGTACGGCTCCCCCTGCAACCACCACCTCTGGAAGGCAGAGAGCTGACGCAGCCCTGGCTCACTCCTGGCTGCTCCACAAGCAGAAGAGCAGAGGGATTTCCACATTAGGTCAGCTCCAGGTCCTGCCCGGTGCAGAAAACGGTCAAGAAAACATCTAGGGCTTCATCCAACAGCTGCACTCTGCTTCCTAGAACAGGCACCATTGTGCACGCTAGAACAGTTATCAGTAATGATGTCAAGGTCCTCTTTTCAAGTGAGCAAAGTGATTAAAATCCTTCTTCCAGAGAATATGATTTTTGGTGGTGGAACACAAAATTGCCTTAAGATGGGAACTAAACCTTGGTCCGCAAGTCAGTCCCTCCTCAAGAGGCAATGAATCCAGCAGAAGTCATCACCTGCAGCGAAAACAGCTTAGGGAGCAGCACTGCCTTTACAGATGTCACACTAAAATCTGAGGAGCACAGAGCTGTGTAGAGATGTACTCGTTCACAGGCGATAGGCAAACCTTATGTCTATTTTACTGCCTCCCTTCACAGCACAGCATCCATCAGTGCCTAGATATCCACCTCCTCTTACACGACCACTACAGAACAACTCAGCAGCACAGGCTGCCCTTGGATCAGGGCAGCTTAAACTTTCGTGCAAAAGACACAGACAATGGGGAGGAAAAAAAAAGGAGAGTTGGATGAACTGTGCTCCACTAGGTCTGTATTTGGAAATAAGGCACTTTCAAATAGTCTTGGAACCCTGGAAATGTACCATCTAATTTTGTAGGTGTCAATTCTTTAAGAAACCACTGGTAAAATTTAAAGCAGAACTAACCCAGACTGTTCTGTAACTGTTAAAGTGATTATTGAAAATATCTCTCACAGCAAATGCAATAAAATCTGAAGTAACGTGACATGAGTTTAAAACAGGGCAACGGACTAAATGACCACAAGCTCCTCTCAGCCCTGTTTTCTGTGAAAGCCACTACCCTCCATGGTGCACACCTCACTTCTTGCTTCCCACGAGAGTCACCTGCTGCTTTTCTCTGGTGCTGCCTATGTAGCAGACCTCATCCTTCTCACAAGTAGAAGACGTTCGTAGATGAGCTTTCCTCCCAATCATTCCCTGCTTAGCTTCCCAAAGCATCATCTGGAGCACCAGTAAATAACAACTTGGCTGATTTGCATCAACGATAGCTCCAGAAAGTCACCACAAGGTTCCGTTGCCCCTCCTTCCAGACATCTAGGATATTCCATGTTGTGCTTGGGCAAACAAGCTATGCAAGACATTTTGGCCTCCTGTAGGTACCTCATCAGCCTTCTGCCCCTGGGCTCTCTGACCTGAAATTCCGATTCCAAATGTCAAAGTACGTAGCAGCAGCAAGACACCATCACCAAGACCAACTACTGTTTAAACAGGAACCCTGGCAATAGAGACGAAAATAGGCTCCTAAATCAAATTTTGAATTAGGCTCTGGACCTAACCCTAGCCCAAAAGATTTAAAGCATGTTCCTTGTGTGAATTAGTCTATAGACTGTTTCAGGCACATTTAGGATAGCATGGGCCACACGTTCCTATTTCCATCCCGTGATGCGACTTCTCAACAGCAAGCTAAGCAAAGCAATTCTGCTTGCACAGAAAAGTACCAGCAAACTAATGTAGTCTTTTCCTCTAACAAACTTTAGCAGGGATATTAAGAATTTCTGTATTGTATACTAGCCAAACTTTACAAAAGTCCAGCAGTCCATGCTTTCTGTGTCTATCTTAATAGCTTGGCTTGCTTTCACCCCTTTCTTGCTCAGTGTTGGGAGATTTCTTTCCAGGGAAGAAAGCCACGTGACTTCTGCAAATGTTTTCAAGCGTGCATCACTTTCTACTTCTCCCTTAATTTTCAGAAGCTTCCCTTTGGGATGAGACATTACAAGTTTATTATGACAGCTCAAAAGGAGGCTAGTTGTTAGGATTTTTTAAAATTCAGTGCGTTACCAGATACGATCTTAACATAAAAACTGAAGTTCTCAGATAGGTTTTAAAGCTCCAAGGAATATTTTGTAGTTTATTTTGTCAGTTCTCAAGCTTGCCATGAATCCAGCTCTCTGTCAGAGTCTCAAATAGCTTAAATAAAATGACTGAAACAAGGATGCTACACGGAAACTATCAAGCTACCCACCATCCCTCTCTCCCCTTCCTAGCAGCAATTCCTTGCCTTCTCAAATGTCGCACCCTCTGCAGCTCCACATTTCACAGGGCACCAGGTCCTTAGCAAGCACAGGATTTGCAACTGGCAGCTTCATGGCAAGGATCTGCTGGAAAGGGGCTGCTGGAGTCTTTCCCCTTTGATCAAAGTTAGGGGAGGAACGGGTCAGCAGGCAGGAGGGACTCCCAGACTGCCCACTGGACCAGCTGCATATTCAAAGAACGCAGCACATGCAAACTGCAAGTGCCATGACACTGCGCATTCAGGGGGAGAGTCCCAGACTTGCAGTCCTTCAGCTGAATGCACGACATCTGGGCTCTGTGCAAAGGTCCTGTAGCTCCAGCTGCGCATCCGAAAGGTGCGGTCAGACATTAGTGCGTACGTTGAATTTCTGGAAGAAAATACGTGCCACCATCTGAAAAGGCACAACCACTAAATGCAGGAGTTAAGGTTTCATCTTCACAGGGAAGAAAATTCAAGTGATTGCTCTGAGTTAGTATCAACAATTTTATAATGGGAGCAATAAACTCCCCACAAGGTTTGAAGCCACTAAGTGTTTCCTTCACAAATACCTACCTTCATACACTCTGGCACTTTTTCAAAACTACATCCATTGTGCTGTTGCTCATATTTAGCTCACCTGGGCAGGTGGGACCCAAACAATTCAGGCAGGGGTACAAAGAGTGTCACAGCTTGCACAGGAGCCTCTCTCCCCCCCTTAGAGTTAGAGGCAAAGAGTCTGAAAACAAATAAAACTGGAAATTCACCAAGCAGAAATCCCATTTGAAGATGCTCCTTTCAGAGCTGCAAAAGACAGGTGAGATCAGCAAATTTCTCAGTCAGCACTCCAAAACTTCACCTTCAGGAAGTCCTCAATCTATTTTAAATACCAACCTCTGAGCATCCAGGACAGCAGAGCAGCAGCCTCTGCAGAAAATCTGAGCGCACATCAAATACGATAGCTCAACTTCTTTCCATGCCCAGTGGATTTATAGCTAAAAACCCAAGAGTTTCAGCCCTGCAAAGCACACGCTCAGAAAGGCAGCCTCGCTTTCCAGGAGCCTCAGGCATGCTGGGTTGGCTGGATCTCCGCCCATGGGCACACCTTCCACAGGGTCTGCTGTAGTGTCCCAGAACACCTTCTCATCCCACACCCTCCCTAGAAAGCCTTGACAGAAAAGGCAAAGCTTTGTACATGCCACTACAGAAAACACCTATATTAAACAACCTAAGTAAAGGCATTCAAACTAAAACTGCATTAAATACCAGCATTAAGTGTGAACGTTTGAGTTCTCTTCCACTTTTGTGCACGTGGGTAGATCTACTCAGTTAAAAGATAACAGGCCACATCACAAAAGCCTGCCTTGTATGAAGCGCAAGGAACCAACCCTTGACACACCCAGCACGTGCCTGCAGTATCAGCAACTTTCAATATCACTTTACTAAACATGAGTATGTGCAAGGTTATTGAAAAGCTATACAGCATCATCTTGACATAGACCAAGAAAAACCATCTCAATACATAGAATTAGGGTAGAGGGTGAAATCTTACCTCCTTTCTTAGATTCTTAAGCTGCACAATGAAAAACCCGAGCTAAAAATGTTATCCCAACTTGTAATAAGCTCCCACATATACAAACACAGAAGCACATCCAGGCACCGTGGAACAGACCCTGACTGGTGATGTCAGTTTGCAAAGGTGCTGAAGGCAAGACGTGCTTACAGCAAGTATCAAGTCCTTGACAGCCACTTACTTTAGCTGCTTTACCAAAACTATTTGGTTTTCTATCAACTTTGGGAAACAAATAACAAGTCAAAACTTTGATGACTCAAATAGAAACATGGCAAGCGATTTTCCCTGTGGTTTGCACAGCAGAACAGCTGATGTTCACTCCAGCATCAATCATCTTGGTTACAGTTTGCCTGCACAGCTTAGATGTTTTGTCAAAAAACTTTTTATACAAAATACTGAAGCAGAGATTTGGAGCAGCACACTGAAGGAAAACCAGGCTTTGCAATACCTCCCTTCCCAAATTGCTTCTTGGGCTTCCCACCAGTCTCTAGTGAGGCCTCTCCCTCTGACACAGTAATGCTCCTCAGGCAGCACCTGCAACAACTTAGAGATATTTTCTCTGAGTCCTTCAGCCTCCAAGTAACACCACCACAAAAGAGTCAGAAATGGGGTGGACTATCATCTCCCTCAGTTGATAAAGGTACATCACCTAAGACGGTGGAGAGGAGGAATGCTACTGGATGTAGAATGTTTCAAAAGAGAGTCAAGAAGAGAAGGTAAATTTGTTTTGTTAGTAAAGCTCATTGCTGAAAAATGCCTAGAAAACAGAAAACTGAAGAACAGCCTGAACCCTTATTTCTGGCCTTTGCAAGTCAGTCAACTGGAGAGCGATGCCTTCTTGGAGGCCCAGAGCAAACAGTTCAAAGTCTGCCCGTCAGGTCCCTGATTGTCTCGGGAGCAGGACTGGATGTGAAGGGGCTTGAGCTCTCATTGCTCCAAAGCCCAGAGACCGACCTCCTCTTTGCATAGAGGAGAACCAGCCCTACTGTCTATCACAGCGACATTTTCCTTCTCTTGACAAGCCTTGTAACGCTTACGCAAAGGGAAAGCAAACATATCTCCCGGCTCAGGTTGTGTAATTTCACTTGCTGGAATGTGTTTTGTTCCCAGGCACGAGAGACCGGATGCAATGACGTGCAAGGATGCACCAGGCAGAACGTCGGGACGCTATCAACCAGACTACACTGACAACAGCAGCGCCTGCATCAAGGACAAAAACAAGTCAAGACAGCAGTCCGGAGGGACGAGAGCTACAGATTCCCTCTGCAAACACACGCTTGCCCAACACAGAGGAGGAGCCCACGCGGCACAGGAAAGTGTTCGTTGTTATGGAACAACACTTATCTCTGCAGAGGGTGGATGAAAGCTGTTACTACATGAAGGCTGGAAGGAAGCGAGTCCCAACCCAAGTGCCAACACAATTCTTTTTTTCTCCCCCTGTATGAAAACAAAATCCCTATCGCAAACGGCTTTGCCGGCACTCTCAGCAAAGGTGATGAGTGGTCACGACAAGTGGCCGAGTCGCCTTACCCCTCAACGCAGCAGAAGGTGGCTGCAGCACCTCAGGAGCGGAGCACAGGGAAACCTGCCCTGCCACAGCTTTCGCCCTCCAGTTCCCTTCCCGGGCAGCCCCATCCAGGCCACGCCGCCAAACAACGCGGAAGAGCTCAATGCTTTTTAGGAACGACGGCAAAAGCCAGGCTAGGAAGAGCAGGAGGGATTCACCTCCCCGGTGAGAGGGCTCCCTCTCGGCTCTGGCCTACGGCGGCAGACACCGGCGGTAACGGAGCCATAGCTAGGCCGCCCTGAGCCACCGCCT